TGCTGGGAGTGCCCTGGCATTCAGGTTGGGATCCTGGTTAGATCCAATATCTTTGTACCAAATTAACTGTGCATTTAGCCAGATGATTTTGTTTGTCCTTCTAGAGGAGCTGAGCGTTGCTGGAGCAAAGTAAGCTCTTGCAATGGTTTGGTGGTTAGCAGAAGATGCTGGCAGGTATTATGGCTGGGGCAATTCAGGATTAGATTCTGTGCCTAATTTTAAATTAGAGAGCTGTAGTGTCCACTAAGTCTTCCTGTGCTTGCCAGCAAGCCCAGTGCCTCTAGGGTATGTCAGCAGTTTCTAGTGGGCTTCTGCTGCATACAGCTTTGAGACTCAACAAGTGGTGGGTGTGCTGTTAGTAGGTAAAAAGAGGTGGCAGTATGTCCAGCAGAAGTGAAAAAGTCACAGAGGTAGTCACTTATGCTCTGCAGTCAAGTAAGCTCTTAATCCAGGGAGTGTTTGAGTACCAACACCTGAGCATTTGTTTTTGTACAGCCAGGTTATAGCTCTGCCTGTCTCTGAAATTCACATTTTTCTGAGACAGTGCAGTGCTGGATTGGCACGAGCTCACTCCTCCTTTGTAATTCTTCTGTTTAATTGTTTTGTTGAAAACTCTATTTAAAAGCTGTTGCTGTTACTTTCTTTTTGCAGATTCCCTCTATTGTTCAAGCTTTAGTCATGATTCCTGCTGAAACTTCAGTGTCCTGGATTTCACTGACTGTGTTGAAAAGTGGGGAGAAGGAAGCCCAGGTGAGTGTCCCATTCATTTAAAAGATGAAGTTAAATTTCTCTATGAAGCAACAGCAATCCCAGCTCAAATCCAAGTGTTTGACATTGCCCAAAACAAAAGCAGACAGGAGCAAAGGATGTTTTGCTTTGTGAAGATTTCTGTAAGAGAAGCGAAGACAAACAAAGAAGCTGAGGAGTAAAGTGTCCGTGCAGCACAGAACTCTTCCCTGCATTTTGGTGGACTTGGGTTGTTTTCTTTTTGCCCTAGGACAAGAAACAAGAGCTTCAGTGTGGAATTCTGACAAAAATGAGCTTAGATCTAGACTGAAAGACACTGTTTGGTTTGAACACTTCCAGTTCTTTTGGGTAAAATCAGATTTGACATTCCTGCCTTAAAAATAAGATAGATAAGGCCAGTCTTTGTAAAAGGCAATGCATCTAGAAGGTACCTAGTACCTGGGAGGTATCCCTAATTTCTCCTCCAAAGAGAGGAGAATAATCAGGGATCCCAGACTTCTTTGAAGGGGGCTCAGTTTGAAATAGGTAGGAAAGGCACCTATTGGTTGCTTGGTGGGGTTGTTTTGGTTTTGGGGCTGGTTTTTTTTGTTTTGTTTTTTTTTCCTAGATTGCTACAGGCATTTTAATATACAGGTTCTGATTGATGCTACTGTTGGCTCTGACACAGCCTTCAATCTTATTTTCTCCAAGGTAGGAATGAGGTCGTGTGTATTCAGTGAGGGATTTAGCCAGAGAGAAGATTTGTCCATTTCATTTGTACCATACTAACTCTTTAATATCTGAGCAGTAGCTCTTATTTTAAAATGCTTTGGGCTGGCTTTATCTAGATTAGTGGGGTAATAGCCTCTTTGTTAGAAAAAGAACACCTTTTCCTCTGCTGCATTTGCTCCCCTCGGTCCTCTGAACCCCTCGATGCAGCAGGACTGGATTTAGCCACAGAACAGCAAGCGGCCAAGCAGTCTCTTAGGGCTCTGCAGAGGCAGCTGGCATTTGAGACATAAGGGGCAACGGGGAGCAATGTCTTCAGGGATCACAGCAAGCAGCTATTACGCTCGTTTGCTCTCCTGATTTGTGACGCCAGGATAGCCACTGCTATGTTAGATGACTGCACTGTCTCATCTTGGAAGCTGGGAAGGCCTGTGCATGCTTTTCCTCCATTCATTAACCAGCCTCTTGCTTTGGCACTGTACCTTGTTTCGGATCTGGAGGCCTGTTCAGATGCTCAGTGTTGTGTTTGTTACACCTGAAACATCTGGTCCTGACTGTGATCAGTCATTGCAGTGCTTTCCATGGAATTGCTGTCAGAACGCAGGAGCTGCCTTTCAAAGGCCCAGAGATGGTTTTCTCCCCGGCACAAGATGATTTTCTGAGGCAGTGTGTGGTTTTGCCTGGTCCATTGGAAAACAGAGCTGTCTGGGACTATTTTGATTAAGTGGATATGGGGCTGTATTGACTTCATTTTTACGGGATTTCAGAGTTTGTCACAGCTGAAGGTCTTTCTGTAGAAACAGAATTTACCTCAGGTAACATTTTTACAGTTTCAAAACTTGAGGTCAGAGGGAAATCTGAACTGAAGAGCTACCCCAGGACTTAGCCTGGGTCTCACACAGCTTTGATGAAGGCCCTAGCTGCACAGCTGGTTTCCAGCCTTCTCATCTTTTTGGTTGGTTCCTGCTGCTGTCTGGTTTTGCAGGGGAAGTGGAGATCAGGTCTCTGGATCTTAGTGGCACCAGCCTGAGGAACACTGTGTTTGGCTGAGCAGCTCTGCTCTTGCTGATTTATTCAAGTGTCTGGCTTAGCTGTCTGCACTTGCTGTTGCCACAGGAGGGATTTGAAACCTTTCCTTAACACACCTCAGTGTCAAGTAGTAAAAGCATGTTTTGAGAGACTCTACAGGGTCTGAGGGAGAGTATGGGTTCATATGAGGTCTCTCCAGTATCTTTATGTCATTCCATACTCATCCCTTCCACAGAAGGTGTTTTAGGTTTTTTTCAACGGGAAGTCCTTTCTCTGAACTTTGGTTTTCCCACATGTTAGTGGTTCTCCTGAAAATGATGGCTTGCCTTTGTGCCACCTCATGGATGAAGTCCGCTCAGCCTTCAGGCTGGCTTAGTCCTGTGCAGACAAAATTGTGGGCAAGAGGAACATCTGTGGGGCCTGAGGTGAGCTGTCACAGTGCTCTCCAGATACTGCTGCACCTGACTAGCTGATGCCCAGCGGTCTTTTGGAGGTGGAAGGTTTCTGGGCAAAGCAACAGGGACAGTGTTCTTGGCATTGTTCATGTCAGGTGCAAAGGAATAAAACCTCAGCAATCTTGTCTCTCCACAGACCATGCCAGAGCAAAGCCAGTATGTGCACCAAGCATTCAGTTTCTCACTCTCCAGGGTTACAGTTTAATAAATCAGCTTTCTTATTTCAGTGCTAGGCAGCAACCATCAGCTTCAGGGGCCTCATCAAATTCTGGGGCTGTGAGAAACTTTCAGACCTAAGATCAGAATTGACTCTCTGTGCCTCTGCTACTGAACTGAGCAGGAATCCTGATGTGGGATGCTTCTGGAAGTATTTATGTCTGTGGGAATCGGGTACCAGCTGAGTTAGGCACAAACTGGTTATTTGCAAAATTTTCTTTTCCCTCATTTCCAGACATTACAAAGTCCACATCTTGCATGTGTTGATAGGATCATTTTAGCAGCTAGTGGGCCATGGGAAAAGCTAGTCACCTCTGGGTTCTTGTCTGTTAACCGTGCTTGTAGGTACTGCTGCTACACAATTAATTATTACTGCTACTGGTTTCTCCTTCACTTTTATTAAATGGTGTTTTCTGTTTGCAGTCTGCTAAATGGTTTGTTGGCTTTAGTTTTGTTCATGTAATAACTCCTGCTTTCCTGCCAGCACCAACTTCACTGCCTGGGGTAATGATTTTTTGGCTGTTCCAAAATGAGTATCAAAAGGTGTCCATTTAATTACAGGATATATCAGTATAAATTTCCTGCATGTACAATAAAGTAGTCTGTTTCCTGCTGCAAATCAGTTTTCCTGCTCTCTGTCTGTTTTTGTCAGGGAAGAGGTGGGACCTAGGTTCAGCATTAACCTGTCTGGCTTTTCACCCTGTATAAATTTAGGCTTCTCTCTGTATGCACTGGAATGGGAGTTTTGTGGGAAACCTAAATGCTGACTGGGAAAGAAGCAGTCTGCAAGCAGTGGAATTAATAAAGCTTTATGTCCTATTGTGTTGACTTTCTCAGTTGAATTCCCTGGATTCTTATAGTGATGTGAAATCCCTGTGTGGATCCACAAATGTGTAAAAGAAATTTGAGTTCATTTTTCAGTGTTTTCCTCAGAGAATCCCCAGTGATAGGACTTAATTTTTTAATCCATACACCTATTCCATTGTGCTGATATCCTTGGAACTGCTTCTCTTCTGCCAAATTTGGTGCAAATTGACTGTTAAGCTTTGGTAAGCTAGGTTACACAGGCAGATGTGAGCACAGAGGATTTTTGTCTTGTTTCTGTAGCAAGCCAGGTTGAAAAGACATAATTTATTAAGTATGGCTTTTTACCCTATGGGTCTTCCAGGGTGGACAGGATAAAAAGCAATCAGTGCATATAAACAAGGCACAGAGCAGGTTTCAGTCAACACAAGCGTGCAATGGATTAAAATGTGCAGCTGAGAACTGGAGGACTTTGGCACCTCTTAAACTTGTGCTGTGCATGCTGTAGTGTTGTCGCCTGAGCAGTCCAGTCCCATCACACAGAACCATCTCCCCAGACTCAGTCACTAATCTGAAATCCTGTAATATGCCCCATTATTTTGTTTTCAGCACCTTCCTGCTCTGACAACGGAAGAAACCGTACTTCCAGTAACACGCTGTTTGCATTCATAGTAACTGTAGATGAGTTGGTTAGAGGAAAGGAGCATTGCCCAGCTCCCCATGCAGACACTGTCTGGAGCCACTCTGTACCTCCTCCCACTGCCTGCCTTCCCGCAGAGCTGCGATACTACGCTCCCTCCAAGAGCCTGCAGCATTCCTGATCCATCCGCTCCATCTCTGTCTGCCTCTCCCTGTCACTGACTGAGGCCTCATGCGCTGAACACAAGCCTGGTTTTTAGTGATTGCTGTTCCCAGAACTCAGCAGGCTGAAGGGGGTGGAAGGGAGATAAACATCAGAGTTCAACATCCAGACAAACACAGCAGAGCACACACAATAAATATGTCCACCCCCAAATGCAAATACATCAGTAGAGATTCCTTCCCCAGGGCTCAGAGCAGAGCAAGCTCAGACAGGAGAGCAACATGATGAGGTGAGTGCAGTGGCAGGGACCTTCCCAGCTCCTCTGGCCACTTGGCTTTGTGCAGGATTTAGAAGGCGAGTGTGATTCTCATCTTTTTTAGCTGCTACTACACTATGACCCTGCTGATGCCTCTTGATTTCTTCCCTTGTCAAGTGAGAATGGTGTTAGGCATGAAGATTTCAGCTAGCACTGAGATATCTGATTTGGTATCAAGACTGGCAACTTGGATGTGTGGTTTTTGGGGTATGATCTGAGTTGATGCTCACTCTTTCTCTGTTAATCTCTGTTCCTTTGACACAGGCTGTTTGTCTTGCTAGCTATGCTTTACAGTGGAGTAAGCAGCAGCATTGTGCTGCAGAAAATGTATGGGAGAATCACGTCCCCCAACTTCCCAAATGTCTACCCAAATCACAAGGAGAGAATGTGGAATATTACTGTTCCCAAGGGATATTCTGTCCGCATCTACTTCACCCATTTCAACCTGGAGCTGTCCTACCTGTGTGAATATGATTATGTGAAGGTATGTGTAGGGCAGAGTGACATGTAGCAGGCTAAGTTGTTAAAAACTGTGTATATGTGATCTGGGACACATGCAGGACCAACATAACTCTTGTAAGCACTTGATTCTAGTCTGCTAGTAAAGTCCAGGCTCAGCTGATTTCCAAATGATGTGATTATTGAGGCCCAGGGGACCAGGAAGTAGATCTGGTTGTCATATTGGAACGTCTGAAACTTGAGTTGTTTATGCTCAGAAAATTCTGATGTTCCCCTCTCGTGAAGCAAAGTTTTGAAATTAGGCCCAAAATAACATTTGAGCTTCATTTTGCTGATGGTAAGAGTGTGTGTTTCCAATTAACAAGTAGTGCTTTGCGCAGAGTATGATGGGAGACTGTAAAAGTGTGAGCAATAGTCTAAACCAGATACTGTCAGCTTGTCAAACGTGCACTTGCAACACTTGCTATGGAGTGTTTGATAGCTAATGTGAGAAACAACCTCAGGAAAAGAAACAGAGATCCTGCCTTTGAGAAGTGTTTGGGTGATCAGTGGTGTCCCTGACAGGTTTGTGCTCCATGTGCTGGCACGTGCTCTAGTCTCAGCATCCCTGTTGCTGATTTGAGGGCGTGCTACCTCTGCACCCATTTTGTGGTTTGCGTGTATACAGAGGGAGCTGTGTACACAGGCAGTATGCAAACCCAGTGCATCAGCAGTACTTCTGAATCTGGTGGAACCAAATCAGACAGCCTTGTTCCCATTTAGGAAGATCTCTTTCCGTGGTTTTATATGGCAGGTGGCTCCCATTCCCCAGATCCATGTTGTTCTTCATGTAATTTCCTTTGGGCAGGACAGAGTACTCATTTCTGGTAGGTCTGTAGTGCACGGTGCTGTCACTGCCATGTACAACCTGAACCTCCTGTATCAGAACATTTCTCTTGTATTAAAAACACAAGATAAATGAAGAGCTGGAACTGTAATGAGTGAATCATCGAGCAAGTGAGTCACTAGTTTAAAGAGACCCGTTACTAGACATTTGAAGAGATTTTTACCCTAGTTGTCTCTGGCTTTAGGAAGATCTGATTGGCACTGACAGTGCCAGGTTAACAAGAGCATTATAAACAAAGCGTGGTGCTGGTCACTCAGGCTGGCATTGCAGCTTGATGTGGGCCTGGGAAAGGGGAGACAAAATTATGGGTTTAAGTAACAGAGAATAGGGGAAATGTCTTATCTGTCCCTGGATCTGCACTGACCTCCAGAAGCACCTTTGGAGAGCATCCAAGACTGCTTTTTCACACCATTAAACACGTGCTTTCCAAGCCATGGCAGCAGGTTTGAAAGAGCAAAACTCTTGTGCTCATCTGGTAGATCTGTCTGCCCGTTTTGCAGCTGAGCTCTGGTGGGAGGACCTTGGCTACGCTGTGTGGGAAGGATAGTACAGACACTGAGGAGGCTCCAGGCAACAAGACGTACATCTCCGTTGACAACAACCTCATGGTAGTGTTTCGGTCTGACTACTCCAATGAGAAACCATTCACAGGCTTTGAGGCCTTCTATGCTGCTGCAGGTAAGAGACCAGCCCCTCTTGTAGATGACAGAGACACAGCTATGGTGGGATTGGTGCTGGCCTGTGCTCTCACAGGCTGTGGCTGCTGGT